TAGGAGCTGTGGGGGGGTAGAGGTACGGGTTAGGGTTAGGATAGGAGCTGTGGGGGGTAGAGGTACGGGTTAGGGTTAGGATAGGAGCTGTGGGGGGTAGAAATACGGGTTAGGGTTAGGATAGGAAATGCTCTTTGAAGAGGGGGGTCTTCAAGAGTTTCTTGAGTTGAAGAAGAAAGGCAAAATTATTAGAAGAACTGAAGATTTTAATGGGATTTGAACCAGCAACTTCTCAAACTAGAGTCAAACTCTCCACCATTGAGCTGTACTCCTGTCAAAGACAGACAGGGACCTGCTGTTCATGTAGCTTGGTAGGTGGTTCCACCATCTTGGAACGACTCATTAAACAGTCTGGATTTACCGGTGCCTTTCGTTGGAAACCCGTCTCATTAGCCCTGCGTGTGCTTTCAGGGTGACTCTCCTGGAGCTGCTCTTTGCCCAGTTAAGGGAGGAGGACTCGGAGGAGTGCGGCGTGCCCCCCGGCGTGGCTCGATTCCTGGCCACTTCCTTCCAGGAGGGCTGTGGAGCCGTGCTCACGCTGGCCACCGGCTCCGCCTCCAGCGAACAGGTACGTAAACGAGGGGCATTAAAAAACAACCATCTTTAATCAGACTCTCTCATAACTTAAAGCTCATTTTCCCATTTTCATTTTCAGTTATTTAGGCGTTTTTCCTGAACCTTAAAGCTTTTTTTGGGGGTCACTTTGCTCATAACTTTGAAATTTAGGCCGATTTTCATTCTGAAAATGGCCTCAGAACAACCAGCAGGCAGTTTTTAGTCTTTTTTTTGTGCTTAACTCATTGACTGCCAGCCATTTTCAGAACAGAGAGTCCCACACTGCCAGAGTTTTTTGAGCATATTGACTGATGTTCAACAAGAGAACAAACAAGCAACAAAAGCAACAACACTGGTAGCAGAACATTAGAGAGCTTCTCAGAATTATGCAGCAATTACAGATGCTTAAGCGAGGCATGAGTCGGGGGTATCTGACTGTGTGTGTGTGTGTGTGTTTTCATGATATATCAGGACAATTTTGTGAATACACACCTTTAATATCAGGACGCATAGAAATATATCTTCCTTTTTCTGAGCATACTAGAGTGTAGAAGCCCCAAAAATGCCCCGAGACCAAATATCTCCATTGTCCTAAAATATCATAAATTTCCGAAAATGTGTGTGTTAGTGTGTGTGTGTCTGTGTGTGTGAGAGAGAGAGAAAGAATGAGATCCCTCAGCCCAGTTTTCCCAGATTGTGCTCAGTTATGGTGCAAAGGGGCCACCAGCCTAAGCTTCCAGTGCTCCGAATAGGGCAAAAAAAACGCGTCTTTTTTTATTTGACCCCCCCGAGCTGCTGTTAGATTTGTAAAAAGCCCCCTGTGAGGCTTTGTGAGGCGGCCCCTGATGCGTGCGCCCCCCCCCAGGTCCTGCAGGAGGCGCTGACGGTCATCAGCCTGCTGGACGTGCTCTGCGAGATGACCTCTGACCTCAAACAGTTCATGTTCCTGCAGGACCACCCCGGCCTGCTGACCACCACCGTGGGTAAGCCCCCCCCCCCTTTATTTTTATTTTGTTTTTATTTTTTTACCTTGTCCTGTTCAGCATTATGGTAGTAGAACTGAAATCTGAGTACCGTGCTATGCTGAACAAAATTGCTTTGGAAATGGAGGCTTTGTTAGTGAGAAGCCCCCCTTGATTACCCAAAACTTCTTTATTTATTCATTTTTGTTAGCAAACTTCCATATGTCCAATAATACTGTCCAAGGCATTTTTATTTATATAGCGCAATTCATACCAAGCGGCAACTCAATGTGCTTTACATTAAGACAAGACATTTTAAATAAAAAAGAACAGCATAAAACAAACAAACAAACAATTTTTAAAAAAAGGTTAAAACACAGTTAAAAGCAGGAACAAAGGAAAAAGCAATATGTTTGTTACAGCTCCTGTGCTTTTGCAAAAATCAAGATTACAATGTTAAAAGAACATATTAAAAAAATATGTAAAAAAGCTCAGCCTTAAGCACATGTGAAGAGAAATGTTTTTAACCTGGATTTAAAAGTGGAAAGGAGAGAGATCCTTTAGAAGGGGAGAGAGGGGGGAGAGAAAGAACAAAAAAACAAAAAGAAAAAAGAAGGAGAAAGAAAGACAACAAGACCATATGACCAGCTGTTATGTTTGCAAAAAGGACTCTGTTGCTTGTAGGAAATCTGAGTGGAGAACCTGTAGTAGCTCCTGCAAAAGGGCAAAAAAGGGAAGACAAAATAACAAACAAGCAACGAAAGACAACAACACTGGTAGCAGAACACTGTTCCCCCCGTTGCAGATCAACATTTCACATTTCAATAGTTAATTTGTACATTCGGATCTATATTTTTAAAGATTGTTCATTTGTACATTCGGATATATATATATATATTTTTTAATAATTATATTTATTGGTTTTTAACGTTTTGACAAACAAACGAATACAATAGAAGACAAGAACAAGAGAACAATCCAGATCTTAAAGTTACATACCTATATACGAGCATATGCGTACACATACACACATATACATACCTACCAAAGAGAAAGGGATCTATATTTTTAAAGATTGTATTTTTCAGTTTTACCATTTCTGTCCTATATTTTTATTTCTACATTTTATTTCTTGCTTCATAGAAGTGTTGTGTTGTGCACCAAACACCAAGGCAAAAAATTCCTTGTAAGTCTAAAAACCTACTTGGCAATAAACCTTATTCTGATTCTGATTCTGATTCTCCCTTCCCCCCCCCAGAGCTCCTGGGGCAGGTGCACGCCATCGGGAAGTCCAGCAGGAACATTTTCAGCGCGGCCCAGAGCTTTTCCGTGGGGGGGGAGGACGCCTGCTCCCATTCGCCCGTGGTCAGCTTTAAGGCCCACCTCATCAGGCTCATCGGAAACCTGTGTCACGGCCACGCCCACAACCAGGATAAGGTCTCTGGCCTCTCTCCTGTTTTGCTTTACAGTTTTCGTTCATGTTCTCTCCCTTATTTGGGTTTCCCCCCCTAATCTGAAGCACTAGCCTTCATTCATCAGGTTAGGAGCCGATTGGGAGAGCTCAGTTTGTCCTTTAACTCATTGACTGCCAGCCATTTTCAGAACAGAGTCCCATACTGCCAGAGTTTTTGGAGCATTTTGACTGATTTTTCAAGAGCCACAGAATAGTTTGTGCTAT